AAGTCATTTTCTAGAAATCATTTTCTCCATTTCCAAATGGACTCTAAGGTTTTCTTTTGTAAAATATCACAGGAATACTAGATTACTATTTTAAGTATTTTTATTTTTAATCATTGGAAATATCAAATATCAAAGAGCTTTGGGCTTGTGTTGTGCTCTAATGCTAACCCCCATTGGACTTTAGAGGCATAGTACCAAACCTTGGATAATATCTCCCATAAAGCCAAAGTTGGCATGCTACCTTCTTAAACCCTAAATGATAAACAAGTATCACGTGTCCTGTGTCCATCCATTCTTTTATATAGTCATTGATGACTTCATTGTGTTGATGATGCAATGTGATTCTAACTTAATATGATATGCAATGTACCAAACCTTGGATAATATTCCCCATAAAGCCGAAGTTGGCATGCTACCTCCTTCCTTAAACCCTAAATGATAAACAAGTATCACGTGTCTTGTGTCCATCCATTCTTTTATATAGTCATTGATCACTTCATTGTGTTGAGGATGCAATATGATTCTAACTTGATATAATATGCAATGATTGTTTAGTGTGGCTAACTCATCCCAAAATGATCATCAAGTGGTCTTCACTCATTAGTCATTAGGTTCAAACCTAGTAAACAAGCCATGTAGGATTCTCAATATCTACCATGAACATCATAAAAGTTGTATGCTCAACTATTTGGCCGGATATATTAAACATGAAAATCAAATAAGGAGTACCGTAATCTAGCATATTAGTGTCTTTTGTTAGATTAGAAGATGCTCTCCCATATTTTACTTGGGGCCTAGCAAGACTTTGCTCTTGTCAAACCAACAAATCTGGCGGGTTCAAGGTAGAGTAATTATTGGACAGAGTTTAGTGGATGCACATTAATGCCTCATATTTGAACTTGTCTCCTGAATAGAGAACTAGAGATAAAGATCTTTCATGTGTAATTGGCCATAGTAGGAGTAGTATATACTATTTGTTGAAGAAATCTAATCTCCTTACATTAATTGATTCCAGGTTTGAAAAATCCGCTTATCTTAATGAGCTACGTTGCTCCAGTGATGACGATTTCAACTGCACTGCTCTCTCTATGCTTGGATCCGTGGCGTGAATTCAGTAAGAGCAATCACTTCAATAGCTCGTGGCATATAGCCAGAAGTTGTTTACTGATGCTTTTTGGTGGATCACTGGCTTTCTTTATGGTATGAATGCGGATTTCAACTTTTCAACATTTAACATTAATTTGATGACGATCCTCTGATATTCCAATGAGAGTAGTTTATTTTTTAAAAAAGATAGGGCTGTCACAAAGAAAAAACTTTAGCCCGTCTAGTAAGGGAGATACTTTTGCTGAAGTGGTGACAAGTTGCAGAATGGCCTAAGTCAGTGAAATGACTGAATTTGTTGAGTATGTTGAATTAATTAAGTTTTAAAGTTGTATTTATCAAACTACAGAGTATAATAATGTATTAAACTAAGTAATAATATCTAAAAATATTAAGTTCCATTTCCTCTCATTTCTACCATCCAAAAAATATTATTCTGCTCTTCTTTTTTTGAAGTATTAGTCGATTCAGCTAGTGCAATGAATTAAAGTGCTGTAATATTATCATCCTCCCTGTCCCAGTGTTTTGTCCATTTTCCCCTTTTGGACCTGTTTTTGTCCAAATGTCCCAATTGTCCATTTTAACCTCCACTTAAATTTTAATACAGTTTATTCTTTACTCCCCCCCCAGAAAAAAAACATCTAGCTTCGATTTATTGTGTCATTACTCCCATCACCTAACATTCTAACTCACCCCCTTTACGACATTTATACCCTTTATCTCCTCTATATCCGATCTTTGTTGCCATTTGAATCTCAATGTCTTTAACCATCTATCATATCATCAAAATCAGAGCTTCAGTTCAATTCTCTGCCTTAGTTTCAAGCCTCAAAGTGCAACAGTGAACAGATTGGAAGCTAGACTAAGATATTGAGAACAAGTAACAGTGAAAGCTCCCTGCGAACGTAGTAAAAAAGGTTTTAAATAAATCCGGCCAGGTTATCTCTCTCTGGTGCTTAGAGGAATGACTTGAGAGGCTGGCTCACTCTCCGTGTAAGCCCCAAGGCTTTTCTTTCACAAGAACTGGGGTTTTTTGAAACCTATATGAATCAAATCCAACCCATTTTTGGTCCTGTTCAGTTTCTATGACAAATGAGTGTCTGGCTTAGAAGACAATCCCAAGAAGATGAAAAATAAGTTTTCAGAATAAGAGCTTTTTAGTTTATAAGTGATGTAAATTGTTGAAGAGGCCAGTGATAGATTGCTATTGATAAGAAAAGTTAATTTGTTAGACGCAAAGAGGAATGAATGTTCTGGATTACTCCATTTTTTTGTGAGGGCATGTTAGTAACTCTCTCCTCGGTCCAAGCATTAAAAAATTTGACACTGCGATGGAGGGAGTACTAAGTATTAACTCTTCCAAGTGCAATCAATTAAATCAGTGTAGTATTATCATATTAACAATTAAATCTTCTCAATGGGAAATTGGGAATTTATGCGTAGCTCAAGGACTACCACTTAAAAATGTTTCCATTTATGCTTCTTCTATTTTTCTTATGTGGACAGATTTGTTGCAGGTGTTGACAGAATTTATTCTTGTCTCTGTTACTAGTGCGGTGACAGTGACAATAGCAGGAGTTGTCAAGGAGGCTGTTACCATTTTGGTATGAATTATGTTACTGACTAAGTACAACATTTTTTTTTTAATTCATGCTGTTTTAGTAAGAAACTGAACATGAATTTACTGTATTGTTTGTGTAGGTTGCTGTATTTTACTTTCATGATGAATTTACCTGGATGAAAGGGATTGGCCTTGTTACAATCATGTTTGGTGTCAGCTTGTTTAATTGGTACAAGTAAGTAGCAAGACATTGTCATTAATGAAAGTTGTGAACTTGCTAGTCTTCCCCCATTTGTTGATGAAGTAAAACATTGTTGGTTTTACATATATTGAGTATTTGGTACGAGTATAATTTATGTTTCCGAATTATACTCATACTGATATTTGTGGTTATCTATTTAGTACATGAGTAGGTCATAAAGATTCACAATCTCGAGTTATCTACTCTGGACTATTCTTCACTTCAATGACTTCTAATGCATTATTCTTTTTTGTTCTTTCGGCTTCATGCCTTACCTGTACGCTTCGAATTCTTACAAATATCATTTCTCAGGTACGAGAAACTACAAAAAGGTCAGTCAAGTGAAAATGAAATAGATGGCTCCGTGATTAGTGATGCCCCCACAAACTATGTCATCCTTGATGAAATGGAAGACCAAGAAGATGACACCTGAATTCTTTCGTGCACATGTTATTTTTCATTTCTGGACTCAAGTGTTAACTCCCTCAAACTCCCCCCTCTTTGTTTTTACAATTATCGTTACTCCTTTTGTTGTTTGATCCTTCACCTTTTTTTTTTGTGCATGCTGTGATTTCAAGAAATTGATCGCGTTTGCTTGATGCATTTCTAGATAGATGCGGTTTCTGGGATGATCCTTTCTCGGATGCTAAATTGTCCCTTAGCTTCCAAAAGCCACGCCTACCAACTGCATCTACATTTGGCATAGTTCTTGTGCTTCGCCTTCGAGTCGAGGAACTTTTTTTGTCAGTAAGATGCTTGAATGCCCATGTCGATACCACAAATAGGGACTTTTGTTTAAGAGTTGTTGTGACAATGTGATATATCATATATAGACTTAATGTTTCAACTGGGCTGTATATCTGTACACTGAGTCAAAAGAAAGTCTCTTCCCCCCTCCACCCTCTCTTATTGGAAGAAAGCTTTGTCTTTAATTCCCTGTCACGAGTCAATAATGGGGAGTAACATCAATAGGGAAAAAAAATAACATGGAAAATTCCAGTTGAATAGCTTTATTACTGGTCATTTTTGCGTTTGAATATCAATAATGCCTTTTAGCAGCTGCATACTTATGACAAGTTGACACGATTAGCCTTATGTATTCTCTTTTCTTATTTTTACACTTAATGCGTAGACTTGTCCATTTATAACAAAAGATGTGGTTTTAACCAAAAGGAACGAACTTAGCAATATCATTTACGGAGAATAATTATATTGTGAAACGAAAGTAGTTAAGTGAATAAAAGCACTTAAGGTGTAACCAAGAAATTATGAACATTTTTATATAATTAACAAGTATTTATATAATACTCCTTCCGTCCTAAATTAATACTCTTAGTTTGACTTTGTGCGGAGTTCAAGAAAATTGAAATTGTATGGTTGAAAGTGATGCATGGTGGAATGAAAAAAGGCAAGTTGCAAAAAGTTTCCAAAAAAGAAAGAAATGATTAATTTGGGATAGTCCAAAAAGAAATTAAGAAAGATTAATTTGGTACTTAGTATTAGATAACAAGAGCAATTAATTTTTTACGAAGTGTATAAAAAGATCCATGCATTTTGCTTAGGTGCACTCAATAAATTTTAGAAGTACTCAAAATTTATACTCAAAATTAATAATTTCACCGTCTTAGAATGAAGTCTAACGATTTGATTTTGAGTTTAAAAAAAAGTTGAAAACAAAAATAGATAAAGGGGCAATTGAAATTTACTCGTATTTAGAAAAAAAATGATACTCCGTAGGAGTCAAATATTTATTTTTTTAAAAATAGATTCTATAATTAGTCTTTTAAAACAATTTTCTATATTTAATCATATATTACAAAATGTTATGTATTGTGTGTTTCTGTACTTCTAGAAACTAACAAAACTACTAAGTTATTTCACTCGTAACTTTTAAATCAAATAATGATGTATTTCTCTAGATTTATAAACAAACTTATAAGCTAGTACTTACAAGTCAAAAAAAGAATAAATAACTTATTCTTAACCTCTTTTATGAATATACTATTTTCTCATTTTAGTGAGTTATAAAAAATACTTCAATAAGAAACTTATAAATCAAAAACTACTTATGAGCACTAAATCAATAAGCACTAAAACAAAGAAATACCTTTATAGTTGACCTTATGATCAACAAGGGGGGAAGATTAAAAGAGGGCACAAGTACTTTAAATACTCATTTTTTTTAAAAATAAAAACCTAAATGGATTCGCAATTATCTGCAAGTCAAAAGGACATTTGTGAATAATTGTCAGCACTCAGCATAGGACTGAGGAGCATAAATAGATGCTGAGTTGCGGGCAAAACGTGCCCCGACTTGTACATTTAAACGTCACCTGAAGCATCCATTTTCATACGACAAAACGTACAAAAGTACAAATGGCCGAGAGAGAATGTTCAGACCCATTGATTTATATATCGTTTTAGTTTATATAGCTGCAAAGTACTCCTTGCTCAGCTTGGGATCGGGCTTCATGGACTTCTCACCTGGCTTCCAACCAGCTGGGCATACTTCGTCCGGATTCTCCTGGACGTATTGCAACGCCTGCAACAACAGTTGACATGGTCGCGCACAATTTATTGGCTTAATTGTCCATTTGGTGAGGGTACATTCGACTTTATGGTGGCCAATGAGCTCAATTTGACGAGAGCATGGATGAGTTTGCTCAATGTTCTAAGTTATCTAAGAATGTAAATAAAAGGGTAACTTTCTAAAATAGCGGATGAAAATAATATTAAAAAGATGTGGTTACGGTAGTGTCCAGTAGGTTCCACCAATAGGGTGTGTGGAGGGTAAGGGTATAGGTTGAGTGTACACAGAGGTTACCCCTACCTATAAAGGTAGAGATGTTTCCACAGGCCTTCAGCACAATAGATTTCACTGTGGTCATTTCAACAAGAATAAGCGTAGTACTCTAACTCTTGCACTACAATTTACTATGAGCTTAAGACACAGCAAATACAGTCAGTGTTTGGTAGGGAGGTAAGTTCGATATAGCTCGTAAGCCATAAACTACTACCAACTCAACGGGCACTTAAGGCCATTAGGGGCATATGTATGAGAGTGAAATTTTGACCAAAATATCAGACAATTTTTTTTTAAAGAAACATCACATTTTAGGTTATCATACAGAGTTCTTTAACAACTGCAGGGTTGATGGTTTTAGTTACAAATCTTAATAAAATCTATAAACCAAAATTTTAATTGAAGGATCCAAATGCAAATCACAAACAAGGCAAGTAAGATAAAATGTACCTGGAGGGTTCTCAATGTTTCATCAACACTTCGGCCAATAGCAAGATTATTGATGGTTGTGTGTTGAATAAATCCCTCTTTGTCAATGATGAAGAGTCCCCTAAGTGCGATTCCCTGGCAACACATTACATAAGATAGAGGATTTTTCTCAGAATCAATTTTTTTAAAAATTGTTTAAAATCTTACCTGATCTGGAATCAGCACATTGAATGACTCTGAAATTGATTTGGTCATATCAGAAATCAATGGATACTTCAGATCGCCCAATCCTCCAGATTTTCTTTCAGTTTGGACCCATGCAAGATGAGAGAACTGAAAAGCAGAAACGAAATATGTTTGAATGAAATAAAACCATACTAACAATGATCAATCACGCCAAACAACAGCATAATAATTAAAAGCCTTAAGAGCAGCTTCAAGGAAAGAAGGTGTGGATGCCCAAAAAAATATGAAAGAAACTAACCACACTATCTGTGGATACACCTAAAACCTCAGTGTTCAACTTCTGAAACTCCTCATAGCGGTCACTGAAAGCAGTGATCTCTGTATGAATATGAAAACAAAGTAGCTCAGTAAACATAAAAGCTAGCACTAGAAGCAAGTAGAATATCATAAGCATGCTGAGGAATCACCAGTTGGACAAACAAATGTGAAGTCCAGCGGGTAGAAAAAAAGAATCACATACTTCTTCCCAATGTAGTCAGAAAGCTTAACCTGCAATTGGAGAGGCCATTTGTCTAATAATCAACTTTCTTGACAGAGTGATGGAAATCATCTCAAGATTTAAGAGAAATAATATGATTTGCCTATGAAGTTCTTCATAACAAAAAAACCACAAAATCTTTAGAAGCAACAAAAATTGGGCATAAGATTGGTTTCATTTCCAAATCCTGAAATTGATAATGCCAATATAGTGAAACTGGGAAACTAGCCAAGAAATTACTGCAAAATTAGAGCAATAACATATGGGTAGTTAATGGAGCAATGAAACTTTGCAATACTGAAACAAAGCAACAAAATCAACTGGCTGCAAAGGGCAATGAAATACGGAGTAGCAAAGAACTGCATGAGTAAATACTCTTGGGCATAATGTTTCTTCACATATAGAAGTAAAGGTAACTGAGTTGAGAAATACAATAAAGAAATTACATTGATGAATTCCTGGTCGAAAACAGCCTCAGCCTCAAAGTCAGGCGCTTTATTCCCTACCAACGGAAGTTTAGTCTGTGTGAAGAGAGACAGAAAATAATATCAGCCAGAGTGCTAATGATCCCAAATAGAGATGACAGTCTAGGTGCATCTGTGTTGCAACTTAGTGCTCTATAAATTTCAGATTTGTAATTACAGCCATCCATTCCATTTGTCTGTGGTTTAAGTTCACAAAATGTTCAGATACATTTCAACTTCATTGAAAATTTCAATGCTTTCACAATTCAAGGAGAATTGAGAATGGAAAGGCTTTTGGTTGGCACCGCCTAAAAACTTCTCACTTCTAAATCCAGAAGACCATGCATCTGCAAGCAAGTAGGGTAAGAAATTTGAAATGAAAAAAAAACCAATACACGGCGAAAAAATGAGCTTACAGAGGCGCGGACGACGAATCTGCGGTGTTTGGAATGAGTGGAGCGGGAAGAGAGAAAGCGAGGAATGCGGGAGACGGAGGGCTTGGAATAGCGGAGACCAGTGAAGGGGGAGGGAGCAGCAGCACAATGAGAGAAAGAAGATCGTTTCGCGAGGGAGTTGAGAGATGTTACAGCCCTGGGATGGGAGGAGAGCAGCGCCGTGGACGCCGGCGTACAAGCCATTCTAGTCTCTAGATGAACTGCCGGAAAGTGTCAACTACTCAACTGGGTACTGTGCAGTAGATGGAGAGACGATGAGGAAAGGTGTGGTCCGTATGGTAGGCACGTTCTTCCAAAAACTAGAAGAGAAAAGTGCATTGTTAATTCTTCACAAATTGCACGGTTTATCTCCAAACATTAAAAAGTGTATCAAATATCTCTGAATTCTTTAGAACTTGAATGATTCACCCTTAAAAATTAAAAAGTGCATCAAGTACCCTTGAATTCTTTAGAAATTACACAGTTTACCCATAAATATTTAAATAAAGACAATAATTTTGGGTAAGGGTATTTTGGAGATTTTTACAAGGGCCGAATGAATCATACTCGTAATTCCCGTGCGTGGGAGAAACACACTCCTTATCTAGCATTTTAGGATCAATGGTACAACATTTTAAATTGTTTAGGGATATTTGTTGCACTTTTTAATGCACAGATAAACACAATCCCATATAAATACTTTCAAAAATGACCTCAAGGAAGTTGCGATTTATGCTTTGACGAGAATTAAAGTTCAATGCAATTTTTCAAACCACTACAACTACCATCCATCTTTATATGCTGTAGTTTTGGGGCAGAACCAATTTTTAGGAAATATCAAGAAAATCATTTCCAAATTTTTGTTACAAATTTATTGGATTTGATGATTTACGGACAGTGCCTTTGGTTGACGACATGCTGCTAATTGGTGTGTACATCGTAAATAATTTGAAGTATCATACATACATATATAGTGTATAGCATAAACCTTATGCAGGTACTTCGCCCTAGCCAACGTCTCCTGGTATGTAGGAAGCGGATTCCGTCGCAGCTCCTTGCGCACATCCCCTAGGAGGAGTGCCGCTTGGAGCATGGCGATCAGAGCCTGGTCGTCCGCTCCGTGGACGTCCCTAGCCTCCTTCTCCCACTAGGTGATGAAATCCTGGAGCTGCTCCCCCGACCCCTTCTGGATCTTGACATTGAGCAGGTGGGAGTAGGGGAGCTTTTGCCTCCGGCTCGATGCAAAGTGTTCCAAAAAGTTGTGGGCCAAGTCCTTCCACTCATCGATTGATCCCCTGGGCAACTTATGGAACCACTTACAGGCTTGCCCCTCAAACGTTGCCAAAAAACTTTGACACTCGATCTCCTCTGGGTACGTGTACAAAACCACATTCGCTTGAAAACGTGCCAGGTCCTGGGGGTCGGCCTTCCCATTATACACCTTGATCTCGTGGGTCTTGAAATTTTCGGGGAGAGGGCACGACATCACTCTCTTTGAGAATTGGGTTACTTCATCAAAGACTGCCTAGCGATAGGGATTCTAGGCGTCCAACTGCTTCTCCAGCCGGTCGGTCGTGTTCCATAGCTCGACTGCGTCCTTTTCCACCATCGCCTTTCGCCTTCCTTCCAAATGGGCCTTGGACGTCGTCGTGGACTCCTCCGATCCCTTCGCTCCCTGAGTTTCTCTCTCAGGTCGCCCTTCTAGGCTGATCGATTGTCTTGCAGCCAGACGAACGCGAGGGTTCGCGACTTCTTCTGTTTAGGATCCCCCAGCCGATCAAAGGTGGAAGCCCGCTCGAATGAGGATGACTCACCTTCCTCATCCAGCCTTGACAGATCGTCCTCTATCATTGCTTTCCCATTAGGTTTATTTTCTTTCTTCTTCTGAGAACACCTGGTCTTTTTCTTCTTCTTCCTATCAGATTCTGCAGGTCCGGCCTTCCCCCCGACATGCGCTCTAGTGATGTCGTCCACCACAATCTCTTGATTTGGGGTCAGGACCGCCACCACCTCCTTAAACTGATCAGTCGTGATCCCGATTCGTTGGATGAGGACCTCAGTCCCCATCACGCTGATAGGGAGGCAGCGGCCTCCGGTGGCGCTAGTCTCTCCCTGAGGAGGGTTCTCGGTGGGCTGATTAGCGTTACTTCGAGTTTTCACCATTGTTCTTTGGAAGGTCTTCTCATGAGTGAATTTCTCGAGCTCTCAATGAGCGCACCAATTTGATGGACAAGAATCCCACCAAATAATCCAGCTCAAAAGGCAGATCGTATGTATAGTTAAGAAACCAAAACTCGAGAATTATGAAATTATACGCTAGGTTTAGCCTGAGGTTTTCCATTTGGATCTCCTCTATTTATACATGTTCTTTACGTAATTAAGGTAGTTTGTTGATTATGAAAACTAATCCCGTGATTCGCGCGATCCACTTCATTTGACTCCTTTTCCGAACCTAGCCGCGTCCCCTTCTTGAAGATGGAGTTCCCACTCCGCTCCGGTCCGGTTTCAGCTTAGGCCCAAGGATTTGGGCTGGCCCACGGTCGGCTCCACATGCCTACGGATACCTGAACGCATTTGGGCACAGGGTTTGGGTCGCCCGTCAGGTATCGGCCCATCACCACTATCATATTTACCACAAAACAGAAATATAAATTTGTGAATTATTATATTTTTTAAAAATTGAAACGGATCTCTAGCAGTATTGTACTATTATATTTTTATAAACATAATATTTCATTATTTCGTGAAAAATAGATATTTTCTAAAAGATTCATTAAGTGACCGTTAGTTATCTAACGAAGATCCAAAACTCGCATACATGCGCAAAGTTGAGATTATTTTCCGTGACAAAATGAAATCATTTTTGTAAAGTCCGAAAAGGTGAACAACCCCCCACACTAAAAGATGATCCAAGCAAGTGATTATATTGCACGTACTAATCAAACTTCTACCTACAATATATCTAGAGTTTATTTTATGATTGTAGCTAGAATGGTCTTTAGTCATACTTGGCGTGCTATTTATTACTCCCTCCGTCTGGAAATGTTCTTCACATTTGACTTTTCTTGGTCAAAATTTATAAACTTTGACTACAATTTGTGGCAAAAATACATTGTATTATGATGTAAATTTAATATCAATATATTTATAATGAAATGTAGTTTTCAAATATCAAATTTTTATAAAATATATTTATGTCTAAATATAGATATTAATGATCAAAGTGCACTATAGGAGACCGTGAAAAGTCAAATGGGAAGAACATTTTAGGATGGAGGGAGTATTTTATTGTAAGGAAAAGTCACGCACGTAAGACGAGAAGAAAAGTTCTTCCTATACACTACACACACACACACACACACATATATATACATTTTTTTAAGGAAAAAACTTTTATAAAAAAAATAGGAAGGAAAAGGAATACAAGAAGAAAGAGAAAAACGTGCTAAACAATACACAACAGTTTCCTTCCATTTCTCCAATACTGGTCCAGACCCAATCCAGTGAAGTCTTCATCATGGATCATCCATTTCTTGTTCCTGTTAACCCAACACAAGCTTTGAAGTTGTTTGAAGCATTGTTGAATCACCCCCTCCTTTGTGCACCTCTGATCATCATAAATGTGTAGATTCCGAGCCTTCCAAATGGTCCAAGTAATGATGCCAGGAAGAATGAGTCTCAAATTCCCTTTGAAGGAATTAGAGTCACCTGAGATCCACCAAACAATAAGATGTTGCCTGGGGATAGCTTGGCTGAGTACGAAGGACCAGAAGACATATCCCTGAAATAGTTCCATATCCCTTTGCTGAAATTACAGTTGAGGAGGGTATGATCAAGTACATCCTCATTGGAGAGGCAAAAGGGGCATTGACTTGGGGCCATTAGATGGAACCGTCTTAAGTTTGTGGGCAAGGGGAGAGTTCCATCAAGGCAGCGCCACATGACAGTTTGGAGTTTAGGGATTTGGGATTTGTGCCAAATGAACCTTGAGGTGAAAAGCTTCATTTTCCCTTCTGCCCTAGCAGCAAAAGCATTTTTGAGAGAGAAAGTGCCATTATCCCAAAACATGTTTCCCTTTTCTCCAGTAGTGTGGGATGCACAGTGATCATGGATCCTGCAGATTCTCTTCTAAGTAGAGGAGTCAGCCATCCTCTCCCTAACCTGCCCATTCTTTAAGTATTTTGCTCTCATTAAAACTGGCCACAAGCCTTCCTCATTTTGAATTTTCCACCAAAGCTTAGATGAGTAGGCTTCCTCCATAGTAGCCAGATTCTTGATGCTAAGATTGCCAGCATCCTTTGGGAGGCAAAGTTTAGTCCAGCCTCTCCAGTGATATTTGGGCCAACCATTTTGTTGGCCCCAAAAGAAATTAGCCATCCTTGCGTTTAGAGATTTGTGAATGCTTTTGGGAAGGGTATTGACTGCCAGGATGTGCAAGGGAATAGAAGATAGGACGTGTTTGATCAAGATAAGACGCCCCATCTGGTTGAGAGTTTTGCTGTACCAGGATGAGAGGTGCTTGTCAAAGTGGTCCAGCAGTGTTTGTCAAAGGTGTGTGTGTGTGTGTGTGTCTATATATATATATATATATATATATATATATATATATATATATATATATATAGATTTTGGTTCAGGTGAGAATGCAATCTAATGAAAGAAATAAGAATGAATCTGGTGCATTAGATTGAGAGATGTAAGGGTTAGGATTGCATCAAAATTAGGTGCACCAAGATGGTTTGAAAATGCATCATGTCGAAATGCACCATAATCCTTTGAAAATGCACTATCTCAAAATTTGAGTGCAGAATGCAATCTGAGCCGCACGATGCATCAGATCCAAAGGCCAGATTTTATTCATATATATATATATATATATATATATATATATATAGACACACACACACACACACACATACTCCATCCGTCCCGGAGTATTCGTCTAGTTTTGACTTTTGGAACTGTTCATCTAAGCACTTTGACTCATCAAATTCTCTCAATGTGTAAGCCTAAATATAGTCATGTGTGATCTTGTTTGATTTGTCTTAACAATAGATTATTAATATATAATTTCTATAATTTTTTAATATACAAATTACAAGATAAAATGGATTAAAGAAGTGTATTGGATGTGGTGTAGAAATGAAAGTGGACGAATACTCTGAGACAAAGGTATTATATTATATAGTGTAAATTCTATACATGTAGTTGTAGTGACACACGTAGAAACAAACTAAAAAATTCAAAGTAGCAGAAATGAATGGGTTATACATAAGTTCAATTGCAACCATTATTTGTTCTGCAGCGGCTTTGGCGGTGGCATGGAAAATATTGAAGTGGTTATGGTTAGAGCCAAAAGCGTTGGAGAAGAAACTGAGAAAAGAGGGGTTCCGTGGCAACCCTTACAGCCCGCCTTTGGGAGACCTCAAAGAGACCCTCTCGTTGATGGAAGAAGCCAATTCCAAGCCCATCAGTTTCACCCACAACACTTTGCCCAGACTTGCCATTCCTTGACAAAAAACCATCACCAAATATGGTACTCCCTTCGTCCTAAAACCATCTTCTCAGTTACTATTTACACGGCTAAACTTAAATCACTTTCTTTACCTATTTTCGTTAGTTATTTGATAAAATAATATAGTCTTGTCACCTCTTGTTCTGTAAAACTTTTAATGCACTTTTTAAATATATAAATTTTATTTTTTAATTTTACACCTACAATCAAATAAATTCAATTGAAAATAAGGTTGATCAAACCTCGTAAACACAAACGGAAAGATATTTTTAGGAGGGAGGAAATATATTTTTCTACTGTTTTTATTTTTAGTGTTTCATAGTTTTTGAAGATTGTCCCTTCATTCTTTTTTAATTGCCTGCTTTTGATTTTGGTGTCCAATGTTTAATCAACAATATATATTATTTCACAGTAAAATATTATAAAAAATATGTTAAAAATATTAAAGCGAATCATGTAGTTAAAAAAGAACGGAGAATTACATGATACTTGTACTTCCCAAAAATGCTAGAATTAACATACAAATTTTCTAACAGGAGTTTCTCCACAAAAAGAAAGAGGGAGTATAACCTTCTTGTTCTAGAATCAAGATTCAAAATAGAGCTAGGCTTGTGTATGTCCTATTTTTATTCTTATTAAACTAATTAGAGTATATATATATAGATTTGGAAAAAGGAGAAATCTCTAGATAAGAGTAAAACATTATGAAAATGCCAATATATAAATCTTAATTTTTTAAGACTAAAATAAGAGTTCATACTGCCATTGTTAGACTGCAACGGTCACACTGCCTTCTATCACCACTGGCCACCAGAGTGTCACTACCGGTTACTCGCGATTGACTGATCACACTGTCATATTATACTATCATCACTTTTGAATCACACTGCCAATGCTTTTATGTGAAATTGCCATTATACTTTTATTTTACTCTTAAAGTACTTAAGACTCCTATTTTGATATTTTCATACTTTTTATTCTCATTCAAGTAGATTTCTTTTTGGAAAAATAGTTGAAAAATGAAAGACAGAACTTTTCCACCTTAGGCCACAAATAAATGGGGCTTGACCTTGGGGGGTGTTCCTTCTTCATGCAACCATGCCAGCCTCACCATGTCGCCTTTCATGTGATGGGGCGTGGCTCCTTGTTGGGTGATGGCCACCATGCTTGTGATGAGCTTTAATTCCACCCACCCCCCTTGTCCGTGGTCCTTGGTTATGAGTACTTTTTCACACATGGTCCTTTGCTTGACCTTTTATTGTGTTGGTTTTAAACAAAGAACTAAAAATGCAACTTTACAAATGGACCTTACATTTTTCTTGACATAGCCAATACCAGAGGTCGTTGTTGACGTGTCATTTGTCCGCTGGAGTAGCCGCTCATTGCAACCATAGTTCATCGCTGGTACTCCTGGTAGGAATCCTAGTTCGCTACCATAGTCAATGTTGTGTACGCTTTCTGTCAAGTCGACACAAGAATATATGGGTTGACTTCAGATCAATGTAAAATTACACATTCAGCCTTCAATTTAATACCAACACAGTGAAAAGTCAAACAAAGGACTATTCGTTCATAAATGAAAGCTCATGAAAATGACATTTGATAATAGAGAACTAAATATATGAAAAATCATAATTTTTAAAAACCAATTATAGAACTCATTCTAAAATATTTATTGTTTTTTATACGAAAACATATACGCATAGGATTTGTAATACCAAATAATGCCAAAAAACACTATAAAATATCAACACATAATATCAAATTATTGGGAATAGGCATTTTACAATATCAATACTTTTAAGAAGATTTTTAAAAAGTAAAATTTATGGTTGAGATGTAGATAGAGGATAGAGAAATATTTTGAACAACACAATATTTAACTTAAAATGAATGAGAATTTTACTTTAGGGACAAAAAAGTGAGATGTTTATTTTGAGACAAACGTAAAGAAAAGTGAGAAGCTAATTTTGGAAAATAAGAACAAACGTGATAAATTTATTTTGGCATAGAGTAAGTAATAATAATAATAATAATAATAATAATAATATTGATTATGGTAGTGTTTGTTTATTAGTCACCTTTTATTATTAGGTTGGTTTCTCGTTGCGTTAATTAAGAATGCTTCCTCTATATATACTCTCTTGTATATGTCTTTCTTTCTTTAGAAAATCTATTATTATATTGCTCAAGTATATAGAGGGACTAGTTTTAACCTCGTGCTTTGCACGGACTTTTATACATTCTAAACTTTTGACTTTCTATTAGTAAAATTTTATTTATTTTACTCCGTAGTTATTTAATAAAATTATAATATGTGGTATATAAATTCTTTAAATATAATTTTTTTTTTGAATTTTAATGAATATGCTAATTTTTGTTGTACTAAACATTGTACATAACACGTGTGACGTTGTACTATCCTTGAAATACATGACACATTATTTTTTAAATATAAAAAATAAATGTAAATATTTTATTTTTAAAAAATTTTGTATAAAAAATATATAAGATATTAGAGACCACCCACAAGGCTAAAAAACAAGTATGGATTACTAGAAAGAACATCGGCACCATTTCCCGAGGTACTGAGACATATCACCATGAGTTCAGGGGGCCAAGGTCCTTCATCTCAAACTCACGATGCATGCTGCAAATAAAATTATGAATAAGAGAAGACAAGGAACTAGTGACAACAATATCATCGACATATAGAAGTAAAATAAGAGAGCCATGAGCTGAGTGTTTTATGAAATGACTAGTGTTATGCGTAGTATTAGTAAACCCTTGAGCCGTGATGAAGGAAGACAAGAAAAGATACCATGCCCTAAGAGCCTCCTTCAACTTATATAAAGACTATATTAACTTGGAAATATGACAAGGATAACAGTGATCAATATACCCCAAAGGTTGAGTCATGTAAATCTCCTCTTGTAACTCACCATGAAAAAAGATGTTAGAAACACCAAGTAGATGAAGAAGCCACTAATGATGCATAAAAATAGAGAGCACCACCTGAATAGCTTGCTACTTTACTACATGACTAAAAGTTTCAGAGTAATTGAGACCAAATTCTTGATTATAGCCTTTTGCTACAAGACCAGCTTTGTAGCGAGAGATAGAGCCATCAGAGTTACGCTTTATGCGATAAACCTACTTACATCCAATTGAAAACCGATTTAGAGGAGGAAGAACTAATACCCAAGTACATTGACTTTGTAACACCTCAAATTCATCATCCGACATGATACCAGTATTTGTTTTGAAGGGCTTGTTCATTATCCAAAATACCTAAGTTAGTGTGGGTTCGCCAACAGGAATGGTGGAGGAGTATCACTTAGGTTTAAAAAATGCCACTTTTGGCTCGAGTGATCATTGGATGTGACGGGATTAGAACTGGTTGTGGGGTTGGGCTAGGTGATGAAGGCGGGGAGGGTTCAGAAGATAGGATTATGTCAAGGGGAGGTGCGGGTAAGTGGGTAGTGGGCAGGTGGCTTGCTGTGGATTTGACAACAAGGGTAGATAGCATTGGTTCGGGTAGGATATTGGTTGGTGTGCTGGGTACATTCGTGGTGGGTTGTGGGTGAGCATGAGCAGGACTTGGGGACATAGAGGGTATATTAATAAAGAGAGGTAAAATGCCAAAATAAGAGGGAGGAGATGAGTGTGTAATGGGTGACCTAGGGTGTTTGGGAAAAGGAAAACTGAGACGGAACAAAGTGAATATGACGACTGAAAAAGACACAATTAGTGTTAGGATCAAGATAACGATAACCTTTGGTTAGAGGTTCATAACGGAGAAAGACACAAGGCTTATAATGAGGCCGAAGTTTACGGTCAACCTCTTGACGAAGATGTAGGTAGGCAAGAAAACCAAAAATCTTAAGATTAGAGTAATCAGGTGGGTGACCATGCAACTTCTCAAACGGGGAGAGATTGGTGAGGAATTTTTTGGGAAGGCGATTTACTAAAAAAATTAGAAATAGCAAGTCCGTCAGTCAAAAAATTAATGGGTAGGTTAGATGTATGGAGAAGAGTGATCATAATTTCAATGAGGTGACGATGCGTGCGCTCTGCAACCCCATTATGTTCATTAGTATAACGACAAGTTTTTTATGCCAAATGACAAGATTTTTTTAAAAAACACTCCAAATTTTTTATTTACATATTCGCGGCCATTATCAGTGCAAAATAATTTTGTAGTACTAAACTGATTTCGGACCATGAACTATAAACTCTAGAATGCATTAAAAGCATCAAATATTTTGAGAGGATATGATACAACAAGAAAAACTTTGTAAAATCAAGAATGAAATTGATATAATATTAGAAGCCACTAAAAGAAGGGACAGAAGTTGGACCCCAAACTAATGAATTAATTGAAAAAGAGTAATTGCAACATTGTAAGATAATGAAAATAGTAATTTATGATACTTGAAGGTAGAATAAGAGTTCAAAGGAGGTACTTTAGATGACGGAACTTCTAAAAAAGAAAGTAAATGCTTGGTGACTGATAAGGATGGATACCCTAACCGACGATGCCAATCTTGAGAGGAAAGCACATGTGATCGGGCAGAAGGTGAAGACACGACATGGTCTGACACTTGAAAATTGGAAGGTAGCATCTAAAGTCCTTGCTCACATATCTGTATCTCACCCATTTGGGTGTTGTTATCTGAGATCTAAAATTTATTGTAGTTAAAAAGGAAGGTACAATTTTTACTTGAAGTGAAATGGTAAACTGAAAGTAGATGGGATTTAAGAGAAGGTTTGAAAGATGCCAAAGGGAGATGATATTTTACCTAAACTAACATTGGAAATGGGAAGAGGGTGGCCACCTACACTGGTTACAGTTTATGTGCCAAAGTATGACGTATATGAATAGAGATGAGACAAATCCAAACTAACATGGGCATGAGCCACTGTGTCCGACAACTAGTTTCCATTAGAGGCAATGGATTAATATGCTTTAAATGCGTTTGCCATGGATGAGCTGAGTCTAGTGTATTCAAATAAATCAAAACAATGCCAGATCTCAAGCAGTGTGGTTATATTTTCCACAAATTTGACAAATCACTAAATCACAAAGGGTTCGCCTACCGCAACCAGGGGCACTACCACGCCCACAGCCTAGAAAGCCATGCCTAGACGGGCAACCATGAGTAGAAAAAACAGCGCATCCTCGGTTTGGACCTCACACATGACCATGACCATTGGTTCCAGATTGAGGACACCAGGCTGTGTGTGGGTCGATAATCGTGGTAGAGTCACTAAACTAGAGCTTTTGTTCTATCTGCAGAGTGAGTTCTTCGGCTAACAACCACGAAGAAGCCCAGGCCTTTGTAACTGTACCAATAATGGTACGTATATCTTACTTTAAGGTAGAATAATCAAATGGAAGACCACAAAGAACACATAAGATAATATCCTACTAAGAAATATTAGATTTAGAACGATCTAGAGCAGCCAAAACCTTTACCACATAATCAAGATATTTTTCATGGATTCACCAACCTTTTGAATATTACGAAGTTGTTCTTTCAACTAAAAATTATGTGTGCGGGAAAGAAAGTTATACTAAAGATGAAGATGATTCCATATATTCGTAGTAGTGTTTAGACCATTGAGATTTTTTGCATAGATAAGTTGATGATCTCAAGCAAGCCGACACATAATTGAGCATTGATGACGGACCAAACCGTGTATTCAGTTTTGGAATGGGGAAAGTCGATGCCTCCTAACAGCAGCAACATTGAGGATGAAAAGGGGCACCAATATAGAGCTATCGACATATAACCCATCAAGCGATGAGCTAAGAGATTTGTAGATGTTGTAAAGTACCAATAAGGAAAATTTATGCAATAAAATATTTCGGGAGACAAAGAATGAATATTTTTTATAAATAGCTTCAACCACGTAGGGAGAGAATCAAGAGGATCAACTTGTCGAGCCATGGGAGATGGCGGTGAAGAATCAATGAGGAAGAAGCTAAGGTAGAGCCGATTGTGATCGACGAAGAAGAATAAGGCTAGGGTTTTCATGTGCCATAATTACAAGGCTTGTGGTTGAGTTGGTTCCTTGACATAGAACAAACTTATAAATTTTCTAAGAGAAAGAGAGGGATAACGTTTGGTGTCTGTTAGGCATGGTCGTAATTGTTTGAAGAGAAAAAGAGGGACAAGGGATGACTATATCATGATCTGTGGCAGTCGACCATCGATGATTAAAGGGGAATTTACTTAAATAGCACTAAGACATAATGACTTTTTCTAAATAACACCACATGTATTTTTCTTGCTAATGAAGCCCTTTTAGTCATTATGTATTAGTCATTATTCAAGTTAATATTTGCCATTACTGGACATTATTAAGTGTTATTTATGGAATAAAATGGGTAAAGTGCTATTTAGGAAAATGACTTAAGTTTTAGTGCTATTTAGTGCAAATATTTCATGATTAAAACCAACGATGGCACACGATCGTAGAAGAAGAAGGGATGCTAAATTTTTGAGAAGAGAGACCTTAGTTATGATCTATGATAGAATTTAATAATAATTGGTCTTATTAAATAATAAAGGCTTCATCTCCATATATAGGGAATACAAAGAGAATAATCAATTCATAATCATAGTAGAATAATAATTATGTTAGTAGTAGAATAAGTAAATAATAGTAATAGCTTGTTTCCTATTACCCTCTCTTTCTGTTCGAACAATTATGAGCGTGCCTAACAACCGTTGACTTTTAACCCTCTCTTTCTCTCGAAAATGTTATGGTCGTGCCTAACACCCATAATCCCTTATTCTTATCTCTTTTCAAAAAAAAAAATTATATGCGTGATTGAAGAACTGGAAAACTTTATTTGTCTATGTTTCTAAAACAAAAGGAACATATTTTTTGAAACGTTTAAAAAACAAAATGAGGAATAGGAAAATAAAATAAAATAAATAGAAAAAGGAAATGAAAAAAATAAAAATAGACAAAAATATCTTATAGAAAAAAGAAATGTTGACATGTTGTAGTGTGCTGATAAGATTCATTTCAAGACGTCCAAAAATAATTATCATTTTAGATATACCAATTAGGTTATTCTTTTTTTATTAGAAATCATCCTAAATAGGATTAAAACATAGAGAAAAGTATCAAAATAGGACTTTCATATTTTTTTTCCCGGAATAGGACTTTGCACTGTGGTAATGTGACTTTGCATTGTGGTAATGTGGCAGTGTACATGTGCAGATTACTATACTTTTTTGGTAATGTATATGACCATGTTTGGTAATGTAAGTCCTATTTCGGGAATAAAAACATGGAAATCCTATTTTGGTATGTTTTCAATGTTTTAGTTCTATTTTGGTCTTTCTCCCTTTTTTTTATTTGTTGGGCATCGGTCCAAAGAAATGTGCTTATTCTTTTCGGTTTTCCTAAAAGAATTTTATCCAAAATATTTTAAATTTTCGGACATCCCAAAAAGAGCTTTATTAGCCCACTTCATGACTACATTTACGTTTTCAACAAGAATTTTTTTTATCTTTCTCTTTTTTATTTCCTTTTTCGATTAGTTTATCTTTTTATTTCATTTTTTTTCTATATGTTTTGTTTTTATCTTAAAAAACAAAAAAAATGAAAATATTTTAGTCAATATAGACGAAGTATATGTTAGTTTTTTCATTTCATTTAGTTTTTATTTCAGACAGAAACAATTTTAATTTTTAAAAACATTATTAAGAAAAATTTTTAAAAAAATAAAAATGAACAAAAAATAAGACATTGTGCTCCGATGCCTCCCTATGGTTTAAAAATTAGGCAATAATTTCCCTTCTTTGCTTGAAAAGTGCACAGAAAATAGTCAAAGGGGTGCATGTGCCACTTTTCGAAACCATATAAATTTTAGAAATAAGTTTTCAAAATAGAGAATATTAGTGTCTATTTTCCAAACCATGTGGCAGCTGTTTAGTGGCCCACTTAATCTTTTTATTTTATAATTCTTCTTCTAATAAAAAAAATTCGTTTGGCTCACAAATAATTCAATAAAAGTATTGAAGATTGATAAATGAACCTTAAAATTTATTTAGAAGAATTTTTTGTTAGAATCCCCATATTCAATAATTAAAAGAAAATAAAATATGTGAAAAAAGAGTTTTTTTTGGAACATCCTTACAATTTTAAGCAAGATCCTCTCATCTCATGCATTGGATTTACGGATCATAAATTTATTTATTTGCTCGGCAGGAAAGAATGCCTTTATGTGGATGGGGCCAACACCAGAGGTACTAATTATGGAACCTGAAATGATTAGGGAGATATTCTCCAAACACACGCCCTTTCAAAAGCCTCCAAGTAACCGAGTGATTAAGTTGTTTGCCCAAGGAGTAGCAATGTACGAGAAAGACAAATGGGCTAAGCATAGAAAGCTTCTCAATCCAGCCTTTCACATGGACAAGTTGAAGGTGTGAGTTTTCCTATTCTATATTTCTCACTCACAATTTCTTTCAATTTGGAAGGTTTGGCTTTAATTTACTTGCTTTAAATTAATAGAAATTACTCTTAATAGGACTAAAACATAGATAAAAGCATTAAAATAGGACTTTCATATTTTTTTTCCGAAATAGGACTTTGCACTGTGGTAATGTGGCAGTGTACATGTGCACATTACTATACTTTTTTGGTAACGTATATGACCATGTTTGGTAATGTAAGTCATACTTCGGGAATAAAAACATGAAAGTCTTATTTTAGTATATTTTCAATGTTTTAGTCTTACTTTGATCTTTCTCTCTTAAATTAAATATGAGCCAAACTAATTATGCCAACATTAATAGTTTCTGTGTTGTGCTAAACAAAGATTTATCGTGCTACAATATTTATTTAATTTTATTTTTTGAATCAAAATGGACAAACTTTGATAAAAAATTAATAAAATTGTATTACATATTAGAAAAATAATAATTTCATTAGATCTATATTTTGAAAAACTTCTAGAAACTTATTTCATTGAATTAATAGTTAACACAATTTAATATAAATGATAATTAAAATTAATCTAGTTTGACTTGAATAGTCAGACCGAACAAATATTCTTTGACGTATGGAGTAATAGGAAATATATTTGTTATATTAAATGCTTCTATCTGACTGTAAAGACAAACCCTTTATATAGGAAGAGAAATAACAAAAAAGTAAAGTTATATTCTAATCAAAATTCTATGCCTACCATGGTTAGGAATACAACAAAATATGTTAAACATGTCAATAATGATTATATTAATACTACCTATGTCGCATTGTATTTGTCTAGTTTGACTTTTTGTGTCAAACTGGGTGAATTTTGAGTTTCAATTACCTTTAATTTGTATTGCATATTAGTAAAATGAAATATAATTTTAAAAGTTCTCAACAAATTAAGTGTAATAAAACTATTTTGTACTAATGTACGTTACAATTTTTGTTTAATTAAAGTTCAAGATTTATCAGGTTTAACTCAAAAATGTCAACTAGACAAGTACACTGAGACAGAGAGAGTATTCATTAACCCCTCTAAAGATGGAGCTTGGGGATTTTGCATGCCCATCTTGGACAGTAAATGGAAAAATAGCGCTCGAGCAAGTTCCTTTGTTCAGATGTCAACAAGTTGTTCAGCTCAAGAAATATGTGTAGTCCAATGAACACCTTTATAGATCACGTCTCAAACAAAGTGACAATAAATTTTAATGCGCTTTGTGAATTTAGAGAAAAAAGAGATTGGTAGTGATGTGTAAAGCCTCCTAATTATCGTAGAACAATTGCATGGGTTGCCGATGACGTATTCCAAGAGATAGAAAAAGACATTTGATTTCACACACCGTAGTTTCATTAGTTTGACATGATATTCATCTTCAAAAGATAAATGAGAGGCATGTGTTGTTTCTTTATGTTTGCCAAGGTGTTGGAGAATCACCCAAACACATAAAATGCCCTGTGATGTATCGGAAAATGAGGGGGAACCTAGCTTAACTTGAGTCACAAGAACCTAAAAGAGTGAGGTCACCATGAGAAGGAAGGACAATACATTGGTTAGTGCGTGCTTTAACATATCGGAGAACATGAATCCCGACATGCCAATGCTCGTGTCGAGGTTTATCCATAAATGATGACAAAACATGAATTGCATAAGCAAAGTCGAGGCATGTGATTGTCAGATAAATTAGTCATCTGACTTGGTGTCGATTTCGTTCTAGATTCTAGATATCTACTCTTTTCGAAAGTGCAAGACGATGGTTAGGCATGCGATGCATGCCAGGTGGTCGTGCTCCTAAATAACTACTCTTGGAAAGAATGATCAAAGCGTACTTTCTTTGGCACAAGAAAATACCATTCACATTTCTTACAACCTGAATCCCTAAAAGGTAGCTCAGCTGACCATGGACCTTCATATGAAAACACTAACATAGATATTTCTTAAAACAAGCGATGAAGGTATATCATTCCCCTACAATCACAAGATCATCCATACAAATAAACACTCGATTCTTGATATTTCTCGACATAAGGTGAATAGGGAGTAGTCTACTTTATATTGGACAAAGCCAAAATTTCTCAAAGAGGTTGGTAATTTGGAGAACTAACATGCATCTTGGTACTTGTCGCAAATTATAAATAGACTAGTGCAACGAAACACATCCTCTTTGCAATGAGAAACAAATCCTTGGGTTAATAACATGTACACTTTCTCTACAAGGTCCTTATGAAAAAATGCATTATGCACATCTATTTAGTGTAGACTCTATTTACGGACTGCCGTAACAACCAAAAGTGACCGAACCGTAACGAGCTTCGTAGTTGGGGAAAAGGTTTCTTTGAAGTCCACACCCTCCTTTTGGCAGTTACCTAGACCAACCACCCAAGCTTTGTAGCGTTCAATGCTGCCATCTTATTTGTGCTTGATTTTAAATTCCTACTTGGAACCAATTTCCTTTGCTCTAAGAGGGAAAGGGACAAGGGACTAGGTACCATTATATTCCAACGCAGTAATATCCACATATAATTTTGCACTTATAGCTGCCAAAAAATATTTACAAGAAGATAAAAACTTATCAGACCACAGCTAACAAAATTAGTGATGTAATGAGTTGTACCTATCAATGGTGGTAGAGTGGAAACATCTAAGGGACACTCAATAGTGTGAATGATAAATGCATGCAATCGCGTGGAAGAATGTTGTTATCTTTTGAATCGGCACAAGAGTTTGGTAGAAGAATGAAAATGGGTGTCATTGGTTTCAGCCTGAGTGGGCCAACCGATTTTGGGGTTTTTGATGTCGATGCTAGTGGGGCTGCCGAGTTGGATTTCCATGGCTAGGCTAGAGGCTGCTGGTTTCATGATCAAGCTAGGAGGCGATCACATTATGCTAGTGGTGGGAAGAAGAGAACTACTGGCGAGGACAATAGGTGAATGGTCGTCTTTGTCTAGATCAAAGAAGTCTGGAGTCAGGATGGGGCGAGAAGGGGTCTTTCCTAAGGAGGAAAAGAGGAAGCACTATTCAAGGAATTCGAAGTACCAAATCACAAAGATTTTATTGGTTTCAAAGTCGAGCAACCACTAAACCTTTTGACAAAACAAGTAGCCAAGAGAAATACACAGGCATGATCGATGAAAAAGGATAGGGAATTAAAGGATAATATTGATCAACACCGCCTCAAGAAAATAAAATACAAAGGTCAGGCCGGTGTGATAATTTCTATACACTCTAAACAATTACAACTCTCTTATATAGATGGTATGTGTGTATATCTCTTTTGATCAAGCTCAATGTGCGTTCAAATATTTCTCTAAAGAATGGCTCTAATTAGCTTAATATGAAAATATGAGATTTCAAAATATAATATGAACACTATACAAAAGAATGAAGAGATTTGATCAAAGCTTTATAACTAAAATGGATGAGAATTGTTGGGTAATAATAAGATTGAATTAAGAGCCTTAAATTTGAAAACACATAGCTATGAAGGGGCTTCGAATTCAATAAATAAATTGATAAAACTGTTAAAGAAATATCCAATTCAAAATATGACTGTTATAGGTTACCTTAGGCTAAAATCATGCGCAGATTGTCTAGGGGTTCAGCGGTAAAGTCCCCACTGTCAAACATTCACTATTGAAATGGTAAACTTCAGTTATACAACCATGAAAGAGTCTAGTGTTTCTCCCAAACGGTTATACTTCTCGACTGTTTGTAGCCTAATGTATTTTTGAGGCGTGAAACCAAGGGTTTGATAAAAATGGCCATAACTTCTTCAGCACTAATTGGAATTGTGGGATTCAAAAACCAAAAGTCTTGTATTGAAAAGAACTACAAGTTTTGTGTTGTATGGTTTTTGAAATTCACAAAAGATTTTTGTCAAAAATATTCACTTGATAATTTTAATAAAAAAATAAGTACCCAAAGGAAAATCTTTTTGAGTGATTGCTATATTGAGCTTGAGCTTAGAGAGATATATCATTCAAATATCTTTAAGAAAAGTAAATTTAAGCTAGCCTACACTAGTTCCATGAGATTAAAAATACTAAGGCTAACATTTCCGCTTTATTTTCTCATTCTATTGTGGGGTGCCAATGTAAAAACTCTTTCAAAAGTATCTCATGGGCGGAAAAAATTTGGTTTGATCAAAGTGAATTTTGCACCATTATCACTGCATGTTATTTTAACTTGTTTGTTACGCTATCGTTTAACCATGCCGAAGAAATCACAAAGAATAGAAGGGGTTTCATCGTTATTGTTCCACAAGTATGTCTTCATAGCTCGAGAAAAACCATTCACAATGGTTAAAAAGTAACTTGACCAGTGCGAGAAGCTGTACAATAGGCTCCCCATTAATCAGGATGAATCACAGAAAAAGGAATATCATATTTCTTTGAACTATTAGGAAGAGGGTGACGACACGGTTTTGACATGACTTTGAACCAGGGATACTTGAGGGAGTATTTTTGAAATAGTATGTGAAGGATGACCTAAACACTTGTGCCAAATATCCAAATCACATTGTCCTTTCATTGTGCAAGCTTTGTCATTCTCCACACTTCTTGAAGTAATAAATACCCTTAAGCTATTCACCCATTCTAGTCACTCTCTTCAAGGTATAGTCATGCACAATAAAAATTGTATTATTAAATTGGAAAGTCAATCTTTTATACTCAAAAAGTTGAAAGGCAGATATTAAAATGTAATTTAGTTCAGGAACAACCAACATAATGTTCAAAGTGAACAAACTGCTCAATGGAACACTCCTTTTTTTATGGGCAATGGCACAAGTTCCATCAAGCAATCAAGCTAAGAAAATACTCATTTTTTCCAAATGCATAAGATACAATCTATCTCCTATCATATTTCCCCCCTATCAATAATCCAAGAAAGATTAGAAATACCTGAAACTTGTTCTTAAGGTTTTTCCCTTTTCCATTCAATAGTGCATGCCTTTAATTGGAGATGAGTAATCTCAAATTTTTATTAGACCTAGATTCACCATCAGTTGAACATATGTGTGCATAGTCCTTGTGCATCATCGGACCACCAAACCGGACCCCTACTATCAGTCGAAAAACAAAACTAGCCCCACCCTCTATTGATCTACTTTTCAGTGACTAAATTGCATCCTTTGCATCTTCCTTTTTGGATGTTGGTGGCTTCACGGGCAGATGACTTATCCATCATGCCTCCATCAGTTGCTCAAAATTCTAGCATGGAACTAGGCCAAGATTCTTGATATGGGAGTGAGCATTGGTGTGCTTGATTCACTATTTAAGTCTTGCATCACCCAGATTTTTACCTCGACCGTGGTTGTCTAGTGGAGAGGGGGTTTCAAATGGTAGGGTTCTTCTCTAGACCCAGAAACACTTGCTCCGATACCATGTAACAACAACAACAACAACTAATAATAGGATTGATATTTTGTGTATTCAATAGTTCTATTTGACAACAAATCCAAACCCTTCTTTATATAGGAGGAGGGAATAACAACTAAGTGAAGTTTTATTCCTGTTTTAACTCTATTCCTACCATAACTACGAATACTAGCAAAAATTTCAAACATAACAATAAAGAAAATCTATGAGAAAAAATGAGCTAAGCATAGAAAACTTCTCAATCTAGCCTTTCACATGGATAAGTTGAAGGTGTGAGTTTTCCTATTCTTTATTTCAAATTCACAATTTCTTTTAGTTCGGAAGGTTTGGCTTTACATACTTTAAATATGAGCCAAACTAATTGTGCCAACATTAATACTTTCAATGTTGTGTTAAACAAACATTTAAATGTTACTCAGTATGATATTTCTCTTGTATGTGTTTACTGCAGCATATGGTACCATCATTTTATGTGAGTTGTTTGGAGATGCTAAGCAAATGGGACAACATCATTGGAACAGACGAATTTGACTTGAACGTATATCCTTATCTTAAAGCACTCACAGCTGATGCAATTTCTAGAGCTGCTTTTGGAAGTAGCTATGATGAAGGAAGAAAGATATTTGAACTTCAAAAAGAACAAGGAGAGCTGGCTATTCAAGTGGCTCGCTCTCTATATGTTCCTGGTATGATATTTCTACCAACAAAGACCAACATGAGGATGAAGCAAATATTTAACCAAGTGAGATCTCTGATACTAGGCATTATTGATAAAAGAATCAAAGCAATGGAAGAAGAGGGAGCTAGAAGTGACGACTTGTTGGGTATAATGTTAGAATCAAACCTCAATGAAATCAAAGAGGCTAGAAGTGCGAGTTGTGGAATGAGCATAGATGAAATAATAGAAGAATGCAAGTTGTTTTAGTTTGCAGGACGTGAAACAACCTCAACTTTGCTAGTGTGGACAATGATCTTGCTGGGTAGGCACTTAGACTGGCAAGAACGTGCTCGAGAAGAGGTTATTCAAGTCATTGGTATAACTCAAGAGCCTGACTTTGTGAAGTTAAATCAACTCAAAATTGTAAGTATTTTTCATCCCTTTCATGTTTTAATATTTGATTCTTCTAGTATATTTTTGACATTTTCTTGAATCTAGGTAACTATGATCTTGAACGAGGTTTTGAGGTTGTATCCACCGGGGATTATGTTTGGTCGAATGCTTCAAGAAGATACCAAGTTGGGAAACATGACTTTACCGAGTGGAGTCCAGCTGATAATGCCACTTATTCTTTTGCAACAAGATGAGGAAATGTGGGGTGTGGATGCAAAGGATTTCAACCATGAGAGGTTCAGCGGAGGAATTAGTAATGCAACCAAAGGAAAATTTTGTTTCTTCCCATTTGGATGGGGACCTCGGATATGCATTGGGCAAAACTTCTCCATGTTAGAGGCCAAGATGGCTTTCAGTATGATTCTACGCCACTATGCTTTTGAGTTGTCCCCATCTTATGCTCATGCTCCTCAAACTGGAACAACTCTTCTTCTTCAATATGGTGCTCAGTTAATTCTTAGAAAAATAAGAGAATAATAAGACGGAGACCTGCTAACTTTTATGCATGTGTGATTTTTATTACTCACTATGTCTAAATAAATATCTCTTTATTTTTAAGAGAGAATTTAATAAAGTTAAGTCATGTAATTGAGGTTTATTTATACGAGAACCAACAATAATCAAGTATAATAGTTCTAAATCACTTGGGTTCATGATATTGAAAGGTAACCATGCAAGGATAGGCAGCGAAATATAAAAATTTTAACATCCTAACATGATTATCTTGCCCAGAATCACGTACTAAAACTTATAGTAAATAAGAAATTTATACCTTTCTCCGTAAGCGGTAAAAACGAAGAAATCGTAGGAAGAGCGTTGAAAGTGCAAACGTAACCGTTCAAGCGTCCGGTCTCCAACTTTGACACACGAACAACACCGGAGTCTACCACAATCTTTATGCTAGTAAAGATTATAGTAGTATAAAATATAAAGATTAAAATTTGGGATAATAATAATCTTGTATATTTCTATAGAAAATATTTCTAATAATATTTAGAAAATATTATAGATATTTTCTATACACAAAATGATATTAATGGAACACAAAATATTATTTTCTCTCACTAGAAAATGCTATGGCCGAATGACACTCTTATCAAAATGANCTAACATGATTATCTTGCCCAGAATCACGTACTAAAACTTATAGTAAATAAGAAATTTATACCTTTCTCCGTAAGCGGTAAAAACGAAGAAATCGTAGGAAGAGCGTTGAAAGTGCAAACGTAACCGTTCAAGCGTCCGGTCTCCAACTTTGACACACGAACAACACCGGAGTCTACCACAATCTTTATGCTAGTAAAGATTATAGTAGTATAAAATATAAAGATTAAAATTTGGGATAATAATAATCTTGTATATTTCTATAGAAAATATTTCTAATAATATTTAGAAAATATTATAGATATTTTCTATACACAAAATGATATTAATGGAACACAAAATATTATTTTCTCTCACTAGAAAATGCTATGGCCGAATGACACTCTTATCAAAATGATAATCTTTACCCACTTTTATTTCAATGTGCCGTGTAACCATTTAAAAAGAAAACAAAATATTACAAAGTGATTAATCAAACTTTGTCAATAAGCTAAAGGTAAAAAATGAACTATTAATCAAAGACTCATTTTGATCCTTAAAATCCTAATGGCCGAATGTTTGATTGTGAGAAGGATTTTCAAAATTCTTCTCCACTCGAATGTTCAAAGTGTATTTTATTTGACACCAAAAAATTAATATAAAATTAATTTTAAATCAAATAAAAATTCCAATATCATTTTAAACAAGTATAAAATATACTTCAAATAGTTTATGTCAAAATAATTATTTTCATAATTAAAATGACAAACAAAAATAAAATATTCAATATATAATATACATATATTAATCGGCACATATATATAATGTATATATAACCGAATATTTATATATATAATATTATATTCCAAAATATTTTATTTTATTATTTTACAAATATACAAATTATTTATTATCCCATTGTTTAATCCTACCCCTTAAATTATCCAAAGTGTCTGACCCGTATAGACACTTATAAAGCTGGCCATAGTATTGGCTCTACACCAATACTATAAACAATAAGTGGTATCTAGCAACACATTATTGCCCCAAGATTATAAGTTAAGACGTTTGCACCGTCAAAACCTTTCCACAACTCAGACTCCGTGTAACTGTATCTCTTTGTCTCAATGTCTAGACTTAATGCAAGGGATTAATAAAATCCAGCTTGTATCCATTAAGTCATTCACTGATATATCAAGTCTGACTGATAGGAACAGACGTCATAAAAACATCTCAGCATGACCATGCAATATGCTCAGTCATAACTTATCAGTGGGCCCCATAAGACATTAATCTCTTTAAAAAGAGTAGTGAAAATTCTAGGTACGTAATCTACGTTTCTGAATACGCGCTGCGGCATACCCAAAACAAAGCGTGTATACCATCCTTATTTCATATGGCTTAGGACAATGCATCAAAGCATGCGGGTTCACATATGCAGAAAACGTAATACTTCAAGTCGAATGATAGTTACACCCGTGGTCGCGCTAAAGATGCTTAGAGCATGAACTAAAAGTTCAAGCAACATCTTTAGGATGGGTCAGTCCGACATCCTATTATCTCAAGATAATATCTGCCCATGTGCGGATGCGAACACACTGTCATTGACTATGAGAGTAAGGGGCTGTTTGTTTCAGCCTCTTAATGGTTCAGATGTCTGAATGGTTCAGAACTTAATGGTTCAGAATGTTTGTTTCAGCCTCTTAATGGTTCAGATGTCTGAATGGTTAAGAGATTTGCCTCTGAATGGTTAAGTATTATACAGAGTCTGAATGGTTAAGACCTCTTATCTGAATTGATCAGACATTTGCTTCTGAATAGTTAAGCAATATACTAGCTCTTAATGGTTCAGACCTCTTACTGGTTCAGCACTTAATGGTTCAGACCTCTTACTGGTTCAGCACTTA